GGCCAGATGTGGTAATTTTGAGTGTTTTGCGAGGGAACCCAAGAAAATGCGCTGCCTGCGTTGCCCGCCCCTGGGCGCAGCCCCTTAAATAAATTTCTGTTATGTTACAATGTTCTTTCTCATTACACTCCATCATAAAGGCTTCAAAAAATACAGTACGAAACGTGGATATTCATAATTATTCCTTGAAGCGACCCCGCAAGTACACTCAAAGCCCGCCCTTAATTCGTTAGTAGTAGCTTCCGAGTTGGCCCCTTGTAAAGTTGTCTTCAGGTAGGTCTTGTGAGCAGTGTTCCTTATGTTTTTTTTGGCGGGCTGCGCTGGCATCCTGACTTCCACAAGCTCATGCATTCCGAGGACAAGCGGAAGCGGCAGCGACAAGAAAGAGCTGAGCGCAAGGAAGCAGAAAAGGCCACTGCTGCAACCTGGACTCTGGCTGCGGTTTGCAGTGACGCTCTTGCACAGGTGCGCCGGGCGGAGGAATTAAAAAGGTTGAAGAACTTAAAGAAGCAGGTGGTGCAGCCAGTGTCTGGTACCAGCACCCATCGTTCACAAGCAGCCTGGCAGGAAATCAAACGAAGACTTCAGCAAATCCAGGAGGTAACTGGCAATGAGGACATTTCTGCAATTGTCTGCAGAACCTGTTTAGGATGTTTCAGCATTGGCCCGAGCTAGGGTCAGCGTTGAACACGCTTGCGAGGACTCCATTATAGGGCCTGCAGAACTGGATGAGGAGTTCGACCCCAGTGAACACGATAAGACCATGGTTTAAGCCTTGGTAAAGGCTTTTTGGCGAAGAGGCCTTGGCCTGGCGAATTTCCGTCTGAGGCGAAGATCTTGGGCGATGGTTATGACGAGCAAGAAGAAACCCTTTCCTCAAAGGCAGCCGGCGGGAACCAAGACAGGTTGCAACGAACATCACGTGCTTTGCTGAGGAGCTCGTCCGAGGAATGGATGGATGCAAAGAATTGGACATCAGTGACGCTGTTACTGAAGGTCTGCGGCTGCTGGGCCAGCATTTCGGAGCTTTACCTCTTCACAACCTGCAGCTGAAGCAACGCCGAATTAGACCATCCAAGGAAGCACTGGGGCATTGTTGGTCAGGATCAGGCGCCCCAGAGAAGGTCACACTAATGCCAGGGGGACGTGTGGTTGCTTCCTGCCAACGCAAAGGCACACGTTCCAGATCTGGAGACTGATTTTCCTTCTCTGCCAAAACGGCACATGCTCAATGCGCAACGGGTCGCAACAAACTAGTTGGAATTAGACTGTAAGCTGGTCTTGCCAACGGTGTTGTGACAGAAGTCGGCCTCATAATTATCCTTTTTTATGCGCAATGTTTGAGAACATCCGTGTCCCTTTCAGAGCGTTTCTATCATACGAATCCCATTATCACTTCGGATCCTGGAAGTCTCGAAGTGCTCGACTGTTAAAGCGTTCACTGCATTATCCTTACAAACTATCTGTCGAAGCGGCTGCAACGCAAGAGGGGATTCACATGCTTCTGATAGTTTCTCCATGTTCCTCCAGCGTCTAGAGTCCAAAGACATGGGGGTCGGTTTACCCCGCAAGGAGGGGCATGATGAAGCGCAAGGAGAGGTGGCGCACGAGGAAGAGGATGAGGAGGCACCTCAGCAACATAGGTTATTGGCATCATGACACGAGGTCGCATGCGGCTCAGAATGCCCAGGTGCACCCAGACTTGTGGTTTCTGTGTGATGGATGCCAGCAGCCCATCCCTGGTGGAAAGCGCCGCTTTGCAGCTCGGTACATGGATACTAAAGGTAGAATGGCTGCACTTTTGGTTGGCACGCGCAATTCACTTGTGGCTGCAAAGGGGCTAATTCCAACATTGACTGGTAGCAATTGGCACAAGGATTGCAAAGTTTGTGAAAATTTCACGTGCAAACCTCAGAGACTGTGGGAGACAGCTGTGCTCAAAAGTGACCGGCAGCCAGTGCAAGTTTGCATTTGCAGGTTGTGCACGAAGTGCTTCCGAATTCGACGACATCCTCACGCTTTTGTTCGCAAGCGTGTGCCTGACAGCTGCATGCCGCCGGAGGACTGCCCCAATTCGTGATGCCAGCTGCATCAAATTCATGCGACGGACTCTCATGGATCTCACCTCGCGACAGCTCATACCGATGCATGACGCCCTGCGCGTTCCTCCCGTTCAATCTTGTTTGTGCAGGACTTCAAGGGCACGCAGCCCAACATTGGTAGTGAAGGTGGGCTCCCCTAGGCCTAGTGCTACACCAGTCTTCCTGCAGTGACTTCTAGCAGATCCAGGAAATGTGCTGGATGAGTATTTCCAGCTAGACTACGAGGACTGGTCGGGCCTTGGGTGTCAGATGTTTCAGAAATTCAGCACTCGTTGCCAGCGTGCATCGGAGAAACAATTGACTTCCGGGCTGCTCTCTAAAGTTCGCATCGCAGGTGAGACTCTGAATGTCATACCTACGCTGGGCTGCCCACCTTGTCGGACTGATACTGTAGCTTGTACCGCTCATAGCCCGCATGCCGTGCCCATAAAACAACGTCAACAGAGTATAGCAGAGTCTTGAGTCCAGGGAGTGCTGTGGAAGGACATCATCGGTGGTGATTTGCCGACGAGGTTCAAGTACCGCAAAGTTGAGCCAGATGACTATGGCATCCCCGTAGATGTCATCCTCTCCAAATCAGGCTGGCTGCTAAATCCCGAAATCACCGAAGTTTCTTCCTGTTGTATGAGATTGCATGGAATTAAGTTTTACTCTTTTTGAAATTTCTGCGAGGCAAGGAGCTGAATCGCATGGTCTCCATCAAGAAGCTCCGTCCCTATCGGGAAGAGGACGAGGCTTCACTGCGTATGGCGGCTGTTATGGTTGCCGCAATCTGGTCTTGCTCGTACAAAAAACTGAACACACCCACGTCCGGCCATCGCGCATGAAATCCTTTGGCGTCTGCTTGTGAGTAGGGTGATTCTGAACGCCGGCCTGCACAAGCAATGGACTGGCAAAGGGGCTTTGAATACATCAAGCTTTCTGTAAAATGGAGATTGGGGCACAGCTCTTGCCACCCACAACCACAGCCTGCCGTCACGATCCCAACTATTAGCGCCTTTCGCGGTGGCCTGTGTTGGAGAATGACCCCTGGGAGCGAGGGGGCAGGGTCAGACGTGAGGGACCTGTTTCCAAAGCAGCGCCATACGTGACGGGGTAGGACTGCTGTTGTGCCGGCGCTTTTCAGGAAACATGCTTATATTGAAGTTACATCGGCAAGCCCTGCGGATGCGTAGGCAGAAGCTGCGTGGGGAGCAAGGAACTCGCGCATGATGTCTGCTATTTCGGCCAGGCTGGAGGTGGTCGAGGCCGAGGTCGGGGAGCTGGCCATGCGGCCCACCGAGGACGAGGGCGAAGCAAGGTCACCACCCTGCTATCTCTCTCTCTCTCTCTCTAGCTCTTCTCGATTCCTTGCGTCCGTTGGCCTGCGCAGGCTGGTCGATCAGATGGCAAAAGTGTGCCGCCTGTCTAAACTTGCCACCAGCGCCTTGTTAGCCATCACGTTTATCGCGCCCGCGTGAAGGACAGAACACATGAATGCATGCAGCAGACATGCGTGATGCTTGGGTCAACATCGGTCTCAGAATGCAGGATGCCTGCCAGACCAGCACATCAATTTTGTTGACAGATCACATACTGACATACTGTAGGAAGCTAACTGGCCATGGCTCGGAAAGGGTTCCGTTGTGGTCACACAGCCTTTTGTGCAAGCAGTCTTCCGCCATGACGGCATGACAGTTGCCTCTGAATGATTGCCGGAATCATACCAATGCAAACTAAATTTGGTCGTCAACCCACACCGTGTCACCTTGTTGGACGAGCAGCCACAAGTTCACCTAGAAAAGACCTGCAGCGAAACAGAAGCACGGGAACTCATGGCCCGTTCAGTGGCTGGCAAAGCTTAGCGTAGATTTTTCAACAGTGCCTGAAAATTTCGCGGCAGAAATCACAGTTGTGGGGAGCGACTCGGGCAAAGGGGCGCAGGCATGGCTCTGCATTTGCCAAATTCACCCTTCCCAGGCGGCAGCAAAAATCCAAGGTATTCCAAGATTCCTCTGGCTTGATCGCACCAACGTGTGCATTGAATTTCAGTGAAGGAGAATTTTTCCTGCATGTTTGACTGATGGCTGGCATTCGCTACCCTGAAGGATGACATCAGGAAAAATCCCATAGTCAGTAGCAACGCAGGGCTGTGCAACCTGGCTTACCGTAAATTCAGGGATGCATCCCAGCACGCAGCAAACATCAGCAGGCCTCTTTGCACAAATGTGTTTGCGTACCTAGAGCCCCAAATGAAAGCGCATTTGGCTGCATACTTCGTTAGCACAGTTGTGCTGGTCCTGGTTTTGCTGAAGCCTGTTTCAGCCTGTTTCTCATGGGGCTCAGGCGAGGGGGAAGCTCTACTGCGGAACCTGTGAGCTCGAGCCGAAGAAAGGCTTATAACCTTGAGGGTGACAAACTTGCCCGCCGGCGCCCTAGCTTTGTGCTGGTCAAATTATGGCAGCCTCACCCGACCATCCCAAATGGTGGTGTATAGCATTATCTACACACACCTACGAACAATAGTTCACAACAATCTCACTCTCACGTTCTGAAACTATCACCACAGCCAGCCAAGATGGCAAAAGAAGCAAAGGCGAGGCAATAAGACTCACCTTTCCTAGTCTGACATTGTTGCCTAGGACAAAAGAGCGACAAAGGCACGTGCTGATCAAGCTTCAGACAACGCATCAGGACGTTCTGCAGCTCACAAACGCCATCTCCTGAAGGCCAACACAAGAGAAGTCAGCTAGACAAACGCCGCCATCTGAGCAAGTACATTCCAGTGCAGCAGAGTGCGCAGACTCTGAGAAGAAGGTGGCCGTCAAGAAGCTGGTTGAACATCTGCCTGCGCCATCGCCATGCTGGCATATTTGACAATCATTTTCAGACTGACAACTGTGGCCTCTGTCAGGAGGAAGAGCTTCACCAACGATGAAGAAGATCCTTCAAAAGGCATGCGGAACCAAGTGCGGGGCGTGGTTGAAGCGCAAGGAATCGACTCCACGCTCGATCTGGAGAGCTTTGCCTGTGGTGATGTGCGTCCAGTCGCCGTCACAGCGGCTGTTGGGCTTCAGCTTTGCTGCGCGACCTCAAGGAAAAAGCAGTGCCAATCATGTGCTCGCGGCTAGAAAAATTTCATCAGCTGCGCAACTACAAGGTACAAAAGTGTGCTTCTGTTTCTGTTTGGAAAGCCATTGATCATGCTTGCCTCGCTTTTGGCCTGGTGAGACTAGCTAGCCATTGAGGGAATCCAGCGAGGCCCCACAAGGCGCAATTTGGTAATCTCTTTGCCCAGTTTATCCCCATTTCAATATGACAGCAAATCTGTCTTGAACGCCGTTTGTGTGAATCCACAGGCAAGCAATTTAGTGAAGTTGCTGCAAGGCCAATGCTGAAATGGTCGGGCGACTATTCCCTTCCTCGTCTTCGCGCAAGATGCACAGCATTGTGCAGCCGAAGGATTTTCTCGTGTCAATTTTGCACGTTTGTCAAGGCCTCTTGTCAAGGGTCCCCTCATGGTGAACACCAACTGCCAGAGCTATCGCATGGACCCACGAGCCAGAGCCATTCAAAACGCATGCCAGCCCGAACTTTTTGCCCCGACAAGCTCCAGAACTCACGATCGAATCCAGGTTGAAGAACGTCCCGTCTGGCTCTCTTGCAAGCTAAGTTGAGGCAAAGCTTGCAACCACGGGAGCGGGCACTGAACAGACAGAGCCAGACTACGCAGAGGTCTACCGCCCTGCCTCGCCCTCGGTGCTGCTGCGCTGGGTGAAGTAGATTTTCCATCTCTCCTTGAAGGACCTGGGACAAAGCACGATACTGCGAAAGGAGCGTACCGGATGTTGGAAATGCGAGTCCAATTGGTTGCTTAGTTTTACTCTGGGATACCTGGGGTATGCAACCACAAGTGACTGAAGCGTCAGCCTAAGCCCAGTGAAGCCCGCTCACCTCATCAGATGCGCAAGCTCGGCAGCGCACTGAAACACGCAAAGCTTTTGGCACGGGTGCTGCCCGAATTTTGCCAGAGGCCACTAGCGCTGGTGTCTGCACACGCATTATCAGAGGGCATAGGCCAGAAGAGGCGGCTAGCACACTTTGACTGTTACACCGATATACACCGATGCTGTTCACTGTTGTGGCGGAGCGACCAGCAAAGCTGCACCCTGTTGCAGCGCAAGGGCTGGCTCTAGAACTAGTTGATGTGGGTAGGACAGATGTGCGCCCTAGCCGCGAGATAAGCTGCTGCCAGGCCCAAACACCACAGTCAGGCGAGGTATGGTGACGGGGTGAGGGGTACAGGTTGTAGGCGACATGGTGTATATAGGCTTTATTTATTAAGATTCTGAGACGTTAAAACTATTTGTTGTAACTTAGCGGGACGTTGGCAGATGTGTGCAAACCAACCAATTTGCACCGGGGCTTGTGGGACATTCAAAACATGCCGCCTGGCGATTGCAGCACTCAATCAGTATGCGGAAAAATCCCTACGTCTCGTCCGCGATGTTCACAAGTTTGCAAGAAGGACCTGGCCTGTACTGCCCTAGCTTTCGGCGCAATACGCTGGAAGGAAACGTCTCGTCTCAGGGAACTCATCTAGACATAGGTCTGCCTGTGCATTAGTGGCACATTCAACTTTAGCTCCACGTAGTGTTCAGGTGCAGGCCAAGAAAAAGTTAAGGAGCCCACATCATCCTGGATCTGAAAGCTTTCGGCCGTTTTGGTTGTGAATGTGCCTTGTTTTTGTCGGTGCGGCCAGTGCAAGGGGTGTGTCTGGCCTTTGTGGGTTTGAATTTTGATTTTGCGGTGACCGTGTCAGCGACCTTGCAGATGTGAAATTCTCTTTATCCATGCGAAAATTTGAGCGACAACGCCCGACTCGCACGACAAAAATCAGAATGTCACGAGGTCAGTCTTTACTCAGTCGGCTTGCCAAGCCATGCTGTGCTTTCAGCCCTCAGCGCTACGGGGCTTCCGTATGAAGCAACTGAGCAGCGGTTTTTTCCGGTAGATCAATTAGAAGTGCGCAACACAGAAACTCATCAAATCTTGGTCCGAAACGAGGTTTTCCTGTGTGCGCGGAAGGACGCGGAAGGTCCGCGGAAGCAAGCCCGTCGCGGAAGGGCTTGCGGAATCTCATGAGCGTGCGCGGAAATCCCTGCGTAGTCTTTGAAGCCCTTTCGCGGAAGCAGGTCCCAAAATTCCGCCGAAAAGCCTTCGCGGAAGCAGCCGCAGAAGGCGGAAGCAAAAAAGACTACAAGCGCTACTCGCGGAAGGGCTTCGCGGAAGGGGTAGTTTCTGTAATGAAATTATACAAGAATAAAAACCAACGCTCAACTGCAAGATTTTTGACATACGATGCCGCCTCCCACCCAATATCGAGCCTTCTGCTCTGCTCTGAATCCTGTGTGGGTCTTCTACCAAGAGTGAATTCATGAAACTCGAGAAGGGCCGTGTCTGTTTGAGCTCCACATTTTTCACAACTGGTTGTCGTTACTACTGCTACTTTAATATGTAGTCTTGCAACCTCCAGCAAATCTTATGCACTTAGAAATTCGCTTAAATTGCGGCTCTCCAAGCAGTGGACGGACTGAATTACAGGCACCCATGTGATACTACTCCAGGGAATTCCCCAGTTCTTTCGATAAGGAAGACCACAAGCCTGAGGCTTACAAGCCAGCTCATCTAGGCACAGCCCGCCCTCTGCGCCGGCAGGAATCGCCGGAGTTTTTCGCAGCTGTGGCTGAGACTGGCCTTGAACTCGGTGTCAATGGTGCACCCTTATTTTTCCTCTCTGCACCCAAGTAATGCGCCCCTTAAGATGGTGCAACGATAACTGATTGGTAGCTGGAGTGTTCTCGTGCGACGCTCATCTCAGGTGGCTTCGAGGCCTTTGCACGTAGTAGCGGGTGCAATGTTCTCAAGAAGGCACGCTGACAGCTTGACTCCGGATGTCTGAAGGATAAGCTCGCAAGATCTGGCAAGGCTTCACGCTCCCCCCTCGCCAAGACCGGCAGCTTTGCTGGGAGGCAGGTCCAGCAGAACTGACAGATCCAAGATGCGGCTGACATGTTCTTGAAGCTGAAACCTGTATTGATGCAGTCAGAGCAGCCAGCTTCCAATGCTTGAGCGCGGCATCGCAGAACCTGTTGAGCGTGCATACTGCAAGACGGCAGGACCACACTTGGCCAATCTTTTGGCCAGACGACCTTCACAGATCTTAACCAGACTTCAATGTTGTTGGCTTATTTGTTGATCATGTAGAGCAATGCTCGTCCCAAGTTCTGTTTAAGTTGACTATCTAGACTGTGGCATGAACAGCTCTCAGGACTCGGACGCGTTCAGTACCAACGTTGGGCTCCCGCTCGGCCGCTCGGCTCGCCAGCTTAGCCCAAGCCAAGCGATGCTAAGGAAATGGAAACAGTCTCCCCTCTCTGGCTGCAGGTTGAGAAATGGCCGGCCGCTGTGGAGCCGTGGCCTCCTCAGTCAAGAAAGTCTCTGGGCTTTCTGCGCAGCATTGCGCAGCATTGCGCAGCATTGCGCAGCATTTCAGGAGATTGGTTTGTCTGCAGGGAACGTTGGCGGCTTTTTCGTAGGTTTAGTATGCGCAGTATTGCCCCGGCTAGCTTGTCAGAACCTGTTGCGCATGTTTTGCATGCTGTAAGCCTAGAGTCTGGGGCCAGTTCGGAACGGGTAGGATAAATGCATCCAAGTAGCAAATGCACCATACAAAATCTGTCAGAAGCCATGCTTGATTACCAGAGACTGAGCTTAGATCGAGGTTGAGGCCATGCCCCTGGGTTGTGCAAGAGCGAGTAAATCTTCACACCTTAGAACATGCATTGTCGCTTCCAATGGGTGCTCGTGCCCAGCGGTGCCGGCTCTAAGTAGCAGGTAGTGACTACGTAGGCAACTGCATTTGATGTGTGGAACGCCAAAATATTGCGTTTGTAAGAACTTTGTGGCTTTTGCAGGTTGCCCCCGACCTGGCATGTGGCCTCAACCTCGAGCTTGCCTGGACTGGCAAAGTCAACCTCCAGGCACGTCTTTGCCCGGGCACGCGGAGCACCAGGGGCACCAAAGCAAAGGAAATGTCAACGAACATCATTCATAAAAGATGCTCAGGGGTTCGCTGCTCTCCAGAGCAGTCCTAGCCTCGGCAAGTGTGCTGCACGTTATGTCCCAAGCGTGGTATTCTTTGAGATTCCCACGCCTCCTGCAGCGGACGACGCAAAAGAGAAGCAGGAGGGCAAAGTCTGAGTGGGCTGTATGCGTGCTGCCCCGGGGCCTTTACAGGTTGAAGCAGCCTGCAAAAAGCTGTGGACTGCAGTGCATGGCAGCGAGAAGTATATCAAGGCACTGGTGCGATGTTTGCCTTGGTTCTGGAAGCAAGTTAGCTTCACTGCCAGGATGAGATCAAGAGACTGCACAAGGAAGAGCCTGGAGTCAGCAACCAGGCAGCGAGTGGTGCACGCTACCACGAAAGTTCTTCAGCTGCTGCACGCTGGCACCGTCGTTGCCTGCAGGCTTTCCTTGCCAAGTTAAACAAGGCTGATGCGAATTTCCCATCCATCAAGAAGGTCCCAGGGCTTGGAAGTTCAGAGCCTCCTTGGTGACAGCCAGAAAGCCGTGGCCAGCGCGGGAGGCCCTCAAGACGGGTGCCAAGATTGATTGGAAAAATCCAGAGCAGCAACCCTGGCTCTTGACAGTGTTGTGCTTTCCAAACTCATGAAACATCAATTCAACTCATAGATTTTCTGCGAGGTGGGATGGAGCGACTTTGCTTATACGAGCAGCGCGCACTGGCTCTTTGGAGCTTGCGAAGCCGCCCGGGGCATGTTTCCTTGTAAGTTCAGTTTAGCTTCTGGGCTGCTGAGAGATTTTTGTTTTCAAGTTGTTGCGTCGTGTTTCTGGTTTCTGGCAGCCAGCTGGCACCATGAGCAGTCGCATCATGGCCAGGTTCTGCCTGTCACAAGCAGCCAACATCACTGAGAGAGACAACTCTGGCAGAGGGGTCCATCAGTTGCAGCTATCGTTGCATCTGCCGCGTGCAGTCTACATATTCTCTGGCCCTGCCAGCATGCCAGCATATCATGATGTTTGTTGAGGTCTTGCACTGGACGGCATTGTCTGGCAACAATGAACTCATGAGATGGGCTTAGTCGTTTGTCTCGGAGGGCCTGCATGTGCAAGAATTATATTCCGACCTGAGCTTTAGGCAGTACTTTCTGACAGAATATCGGGAGCAACTCAATGTTGCGCAAGAAGATGGCACGGAGCTCAGACAGTCAACTCGATTTCTAGGTATGCATTGTGCCTGGCACTTGAAGAAAATGCATCTGAAACATGAGATAAGGCACTAGGAAGCCTGTGCAAGCTGCCACTTGTAAAGCTGCCACTGGCCACAACTTGAAGCTCCATTTTAGAACTATCCTGAACATGTCAATTTGTTTTCTGGCTTTTATTAGCATAACATTCTGCTGATCCATATCGGTCGCTTCGGAGACTGTCCAGTAATGTCTCTGACACAACACATTATAGGGAGACGTGTTGAAAGACCAGCTTGGCGTTAGTGCGGCTGCGGGCTGCTGCCCTTGGCAAGCCTTGCAGACCAAGACTTGGCTCCGGCTGCTCAGCAAGCTTTATGGGACTTTATCGGCAAACGGTCCAGGTGGTGGCGACAGCCCGCTTCATCTTGGAGCATACGCAGGTCAGCTTGGTGTCGCTTGCCTGCATGGAAACCTGGCACAACTAGACTAGATGTTCAAGCCGCCTTCACGAATTGTTTGCATAATTTGGCTCAACTTTAGTGGCGGGTCTCTTGGTGCGGAAGCAAAAGACAACGAATGTCACAGCGAAGCAAAGGATTACCACCAGGAAAGGGGCCCGCAAAGGGAAAAGGCAGGCCAGGCGCACCACCTCCACCCAGGCCAGTGCTCTCAAAAGGCCAGGCAAGCCAGGCTGCAGGTCCGAAGCTGAGACCCCTTTTTTGGCAGACAGTGGCCCAGATTCCTGACAAAAGCGTTTGGAACCAGATCAGCAGCCCAGTTCCATTTGACGCAGCTGTGCTTGAGCGTCGCTTCGCTCTGACGGAAACCAGAGCTGCAAATGCTCGCAAGGGAGTCTCAGGTCAAACAGCAGGCGACGAAGTGAGGAAAAAGGTGCGTGTTCTGGATGACAGGACCTCTCAGCTACTTGCCATTGCCTTCAACAAGTTACCTCCTGCTGAGCACTTTGCGCAGACAGTGGAGAACCTAGATGCTTTCCCAGAAGGCTTGCCGCCAGAGGCAGTGATAGCACTCAATGCTGCATCCGTGGATCAAAAGGAAGCTGTTGAGCAGCTTCGGCAGATGGACATTGCCGAGCCAGACATTCTGCAACTCGACGTTCCTGAAAGATATCTGTGGGTGTTAGCAAACAGACCCTTGTGCACAGCAAAAATTGCATGTGGTGCCTTGATGTTTGGTATGGCCCCTGAGCTACCCGATTTGGGTTTAGCTTGTGAACGCATTCTTGCGGCCTGTAAGGCTTTGCAAACTTCTGACTTGGTCTCGCAATTTGTCAGCACCTGCTTGGCAGTCGGCAATGCAATGAATCGAGGCACTGCTCGTGATGGTGCCAGGGCAGTTGTTTTGCCAGATGGCCTGCTTAAGTTCGATGAGCTGCGAGGAAACAGCGAAACAGGAGTTTCAGGGCAGTCGCTGCTGGATTTCGTAGCAGAAGCTGTCCTGCTAGAGGCTGTGCGTCAGTCCAGTAGCAGACAGAAGCAAGCACAGCTTTGTGAAGATGTATCAAAGCTCCGCGAGAGGGTGCGGGCAGCCCAAAGCATTTGCATACAAGAGGCGGAGACCAGTTGTCAAAGAATTTGCAGTGCAGCATCCCGTGCTCATACTGGCTTGGCTCAATACCTTCACGAGCCATCAGTATCGCGCATTGCGGTCAAAGTCTCTGGGATATGCGAAGAAGCTGACAGGACTTCCCAGAGGGTTGCTGCAGCAAAGGAGGAGTTGAGCTTCTCCATGGGGTGGTTTAGTGCCAAGCCGAACACAAGCCCTTCTGAGTGGCTCGGAAACTGGGTCCAGTTGCTTGATCAGCTCACAGGAGCCTTTGAGCGTGTGCAGGTGCCGGCAATGCTTGTGCAGCGCTCCTTAGCAACAAAGCAGACCCCTGAGTTGCGGGATATGACAAATTCAGCGTCAAAGTGCGGGGAAGTGACAGAACTTACGGACTCAGCACCAAGCTCAAAGAAGACAAGCGTGCAGTCGGTGCAACTGGATGATGACGAGCGCATTGAAGTCTTGCTGGCGCGGATGCGAACCCAACCAAGTGCCACAGCGAGCTGAGATTAGCTGGCCAGGGAAGCATCGCTTTCATCAATTATTTTCTGAGTAGCACAAGCAATGACGAGGTGCACCTGACATAGCTTGCGTCTAAGCCCGTGCTCAAAGTGTCTGACTAATTTGCGCGTGGGGAGCGCAAAGAGCAAAAAGAGCTAGTCTTGCCGCTTGAGCATGGCAAGGATGTGTGGCGCAGGGTCCACCATGGTGTACAGGGGCCAGCAGCGGGGCATTTAGATCCCTCTTGCCAAGGTTGTTCGGCTTCTAATTCGAGCCGATGCCAGAGAAACGCAAAATGCTGGCGGATTTACTCCAACGCAGCTGGCAGAGGTTGGTGCACAAAGGGTATCAAGGGGTATCGGACGTCCAGCCTGGGTTCAAACAAAAGGGTATCAGATGTGGATGCTGTTCTTCCGTAGTTGCCTTTTCAATTATGCTTTCCTGCTGTCGAAAGCCTGAGCTGATCATTCTGCCAGGCCAGGCGTATGTGGCATGTTGTGAGACACCTCCGAGAAAATCAGAACGATGATGTTGTAAAGGACGTCTTGACTGATTGCTGTGTTAACGGCTGCAGCTGCACCCTTGTTGTTTCTTTGCAGGAACGCTTGGGCCACATTCTGAGATATAACAAGAGTGAAGAAGCCGAGGAGGAGACATGCTTGGCTGTGTCATTGCTTGGTGCCGCATGGACTGGAAGGGGTCCTGCAGTCCTGAAATGGCACGGCATAAGTTGCACACCGCAGACGAAGTAAAAGATGCACAGGCCACTGAAACGATCGGCAGGGTAGGGTTGGGAGAAGAGTCTAGAAGACCTGAGGTGGGCAAATTGAGAGCAGACAACTTTATGAAAGCACCTTTTTTTCATACTTTCTCCCCATGCCACCAGGAGGATGTTCCCTTGCGAGAGCTGGCTCGCGGCCTGTGCTCGCAAGTTTTGTTGTGTAGATTGGTGCCCAGTGCTTGCTGCAGGTGTTCCGCCCATGCAACATTGAGAAAGCTGACCAGCTGATTGCCCTGCAGGATGATTGAGCGACATACTCTCAGGGTATGTTCACAAAGGGTGTGAGCTCTCATCGGCTGTGACCGCTCCAAGGAACCATCCCACCAGTCACTCCAAGCTGGAGAGTCTCACCCGTATGGAGAGTTTCAGATTGAATGTACTCACATGCGCGAAAACATCTTGCGCTAGCGCAAAAGCTCAGCCCGCAGTAAGCCTCTAAATTTTCAGGACAGTCAATAGCTCATCACATACCATACACCGGTTCAGCCCACTTTCCCAAAGGGAATCAAGGGCTGGAGATCTGGAGCCTTCGGACAGTCCCGATGTGGCGACAAATGCTGGCCACTGCATCGTGAACAGCCTTGAACATGGAATGATGGTGTTGCGAGATGTGCACTGGAAATGGACATCCGTCTGATGCTTGGGCCATTTGCAGTGCCCAATCAGTCGGGCGCCAGCACGGCTATCATAATCACGAAGTGCGTGATGCAGCACTCCGCTTGCCAACATGGCCATGGCTGGCCCTATGATGCAACAGGCGCGGAATGGCGCTGAGCTATCCCTTGTCTTCAGCTTGGTCAGCGCACAGGACTTGCTCGGTCTTCATCGCGGTCATTGCAGGCCCGTGATCCTCTCAACCACGAAAACTAGCATTCTTCTTCTATGGTTATGCCACATTGGCAGGAACCTTGGCTGCGACGCCCGCTGTGAAGGTTTCCGGCGTGCAGGCCTTGGAATCATGGCCAACAGCGCGTGGTTTGTTTCGTGATATCCAGTGGATGACCTAAGCCGGACCTAAGCATTTTAGGTGAGGACGGCCCGCTCACGGCGGCCGTAGATGCTGGTTTCTGTTGCGCGCGCTATCCTCAGGGCTTGTGCGTGTGCTGTACCACGGACACGCGAAGCATGTATAAGCCATTGCAAAACAAAACCTCGAAGGTCATGTGGCTGTCTCGCGAAGGACCTAGTGGAACAGTTGCTTCTTCATCCGGCTTTGCCATAGCCTTGCCTTGTTTTGTCCTGCTGCATGTGCGTAAGTCAATCCATTGCGCTGCCCATATTATAGCGATTGGCGCTGCGATGAGCTAAGCCAGTGTTCACTTACGCTACTCGTACACTCCACGGTGTGGCTCGATGAAGAAAGCGCGCAAGAGTTTTTGCCCAAGTCATGTACTCATGCTGGCAGGAGGCAACTACAAGCACGAATTAGCTTCGGGAGGTCATTGTGCAAATGCTAGCAACAGCTGCCGCGTACTTGTTCTTGCGTGCGGCCGTCTCTCCTGCAACTCTGTAGCGAAACCGCGTGGTGACTGCAATGTGTGCTGGCATTTGCATTGGCACTGCATGTCTTCCCAGGACCATGAGCAAGTTCTCGGTCATTTGCAGCTTCTGCCTCAGTGGGGCTGCATCCCAAGCACACTTTCATGATGATGCTTAGGGGAAGGTGGACACTATGGACGGTGCCCTATCAATGTCTCATGCTTTTGAGATCTTTCTTGAATTCTTGTGCGAGGTCGTGTAAAGGCAGCAGGTCAGACCTAGACAAAACATCTTTCATTGGTAGTGACGCAATTGGATGCACCGCGCGCCCCCAGTGTCCCGACAGACGCAAAGGACGTACGTTGCAAGCAGGCAGGCCACTATACTATCCCGATGAGATTTATTGGTTACAGGGCATCCGGTGGATCCACTGACGTTGTTCGCTTCGGATTGGCCGAGGAATGGGATGCCCGTGCTAATTTAGCCGGGTCAGCAATCACTTACCCTCGGGCCGCCATACGGTGCGGCTAGCCGTATTATGTGTCGGGAATCGACCTGCTTATACCTGCTTCAAAATCACCCCGGACGGGCATACCTACGTCATAAGCACAGGTGTTGTGGTGGCCTACCTTTACGGCGCTCCCTAGGGGCGGTGGCTGTACCCAGGCCACTTACTCGAGGGTTTCAGGGTAGTGCAGCCACTGGTGCGGGGGGATGGGCTGCTTTCGGGTGGCCTGGCAATGTCTGCGGCGGCTATGTGTGAGAGGAGGAGTTTCACTAGCGCTTGCCTTGCGCTTTGAATGTAGTTTACTCATCTGAGCACTTTGTGGTAGCTTGGCTCTTGACTACGGCGTCCTCATGCGGAGCATCCTGGTCGTCCTGTCCCTGGTACAGGTTTGGTGGCCATCGAGGCCCCTATGTATAGTGGTGGTCGTCTGGAGGTGCACTTGATCTCTGGCAAGGTTTTGGGTGGATTGGGCTGAAGGGCCTTATGTATAGAGGTGGTGATTCTGGAGGTGCAAGCTCATCTCTGGCTATGTCTGGGTGGTCTGCATCGCACTTTTGTGGAGTGCCTTTGCATATTTGGAAGGTCCGGATCCGGACCGCTGTCCTGAGGAGGAGCCGCTGGCATAGCTGGTCATTTACTGGAGTGTTCTTGTCGAAGCCTTTGTTTGGGGGTGTGCCTCGTGCGAATGAAATCCCACAAATAGTGCGTGGCCTTGTGGGGGACAGGGGTGTGCGCATCTCAGGGTGGGATATCCAGCAACAATCATAGCCGAGTCAGCTTGCACTTGTATTGTGTGAAACGTTCTTGCATCGAGCTCGCTGATACTGCCCTCAAAATCGCAGTAGAGGAGGCTGCGCCTACCCGCCCCGCCACCTCTTCTTGTTTCAAAAGGTGTGATGCTTTGCATGTATCCACCCCATCAAAAAGACATGCCGTTATCGTTTCCATGACTACCAGTACTAATACTAACTTAGGTGACACGAATATTCTATATGAGAAGTGTGGGCACCAACAGTGACGCCAGCCCAGCCACAACAAGGAAAGGCCAAGCCCCAACAACAAGCCAGCCCAGCTAAGACAACCCCCTCAACCTAAATCATGGAGACACTGATTGCTTCGACCATTTCGATTTGTAAAAGTGTCATGTGCTTACCATTTTCATGATTTTCTGAAGTTCCTCACCAGCATTACTCTTGTTATTGCTGTGTGTCTTTACAGTACAACACCCACTGTTCTTGTAGTCTTCGTAGTTCTTTGTTGATGTTGCGTGAGGCTTCCTCGCACTCTTGCCTCGAATCACACTCTGGTGTGCAGGGCTCCGCATTTTGATGTGATGGTGCTCTGCCAGGAGCATCCGCATTTTGGCTCGAACTTGCGATCTCACGTGTAGCGTTTTCACATTTCGGCTGGAACTTGGCGCCGCCGCATGGAAATTTCACGTTTGCTCGTAATCCGTTTCTGTCTTTCAAACCTTCGCAAAGCAGCACCATCAAGCCCTCACACCTCTACAAGGCAGCGACAGACTAACAAACCATGATCAGCAGCAGCACCATGGGGGAGACATCAAGACATATCAAGACTAGGCCCGAAGCACAGTCTGGACGACCCGTGGAGAGATGGCACAGAAAACAACATTCTCAGATGCGGCAGGTCAAGCTCCAACCAATGGTGTAGATCGTTCCAACCTTGACTATGTTTCGTGCTACCTTGGGCCTTTACTTCTTCAGATCCAGATCCTGCTTGTGAGCCTGCTTCTGCCTGACAATTTCTCTATGGAAAATTCGGGGATGCCTTGAGTCTGTGTGGCATTTCGCTTAGAGTCATGTCATTTCAACAGCACGGCACCTATGGGACCAGCATCTTCTCATGTTACATCAATGCTCTTGTGAACTTCTTCCAGTCCATCACTGACTCCCGAAGCTTAGACCGAAATGCTGTCTTGCTCAGCGGCTTCGACAATTCCTGAGGATCCAACAGGAACACGCGAGTGAAACGGTCAACAACAGCTTGCTACGAAAGAATTGAAGCGCAACAGTCTCGGATGACAACTGAACGATGGTTCAGGCAATCTCATCAAAGCCGGTTCAAGCTTCTCGCTGCAATAGCGCAGTCGCGTACCTTTTGCGACGGGCAGAGGTGTCTTTCAATGTGGCTCAGCTTGTTTTATAGAGCCAGACACAAGCAGCACGCACACCCCTCACCGTAGTGCTTGCGACGCGGCCACCGAAAGCAGAAGGGAGGAGTCTTATGTTCTGACCCACCTGCGCCTCCTTGAGGCTCCAGAAGATAGAAGCATCATGGCCGCATGTGGGCGAAACAAGGGCAAGGAAGCAAAAGACACCATGAAAGACACCATGGTGTACTGGCGAGGGCCGCCTTGCTTTCTCTTGAGAGGACCGGCGCACCTCCTCCCTAAATTAATGTACTTGGGGAGAGCATTGCGTAGCGCGACAGCCCAGTGGGCTTCTGTTTAAACAACCTCGACGTATATTGGTTAGGCGGGGCGAAGGGCCGCACTAGGGCACCTCCTGCAATCGCCATGGGCCCTGGCTTCCATTCGGCGGCTGCGCAAGATGAACTGAGCTCGATGAACTTAACAGACTCGTAAGTCACTAGCAGTGTGCGACTTCGTGAATCATGCGAACTTTGCACAAGTTCACGTTTCCGTTAGTCTTCAGCATGCGGGTGTCTGCGAAAGGTAGCAAATTATTTGCAGGCACCTTGCAATTTGTTATCGTCCAGTAAATATTGGAGTTCCCCTTGGAAAGCCCACTAGCTGGAATTGCGGTTGGGTTCCTTGAGCTCACTCTTGATCATGAGGCACAGCCGCTAGAACGCATGGCCTTTGAACTCCGCTCGGTGCGATCACATCCCACGGCGAGGTGGTTGTGATTTACCATGCTGGCTTTGCCTCATGTACGTCAGCGTTGCTTAGAGTTGGCGTTCCAGGTACAGCCCCAGAAAGTGCTGCCCGTATGGAAAGGTTGTACGAGGACTGTGCTACCTTGTAGCGAACGGTGTAGCTCCTCGCGCTCGACACTTGGACTTGTCCTCCTTTTCACGCCTTTGCTCCATCCCGCTGGCTTACGTCTGACATCGCGCTTGCGACAGAAATGTAGGAGACCTGTTTCACCACAGACCAGCATATAAGGGGGCCCACTTTTTTTTAAGGGCTAGTCTTCAAAGACAGCCACAATGCCAGCCTTGTATGCCCTGAATATCCATCCCTTTGACTTTTGTGCGCCTGATTCCGTACAGGCA